TTTTGTTATAAATATGGTTGTTTATAGTTTTTCTAATATTAAAACAACTCTGCATTATAGGCATATATCTAACCTGGTTGTCATATATAATATTGGTGATACATTGTTCTCGCCTCTTTGCTAATATTTTATTTAAAATTTTTGCCCCAATTTTCATTAGGGACATTGATAGCTTAATTTTGTTGTTGTTGTTTATTCTCCCTGGTTTGTGTGTATCAGGATCATAATCGTGTCATAAAAGAAACTTGGTAGGATCCTTTCTTTTGAAATTTTGCAAGTTGTTAACATTGGAATTAATTAATTTTTGAATATTTGATGAAATTCACTTGTGAATCCATCTGGTCTTGTTTTTTTTTTCCTCTACTAGATCATAAACCTTCATTAGAACAGGGACCATATCCCAATTAACTCTGTACTTCTCCCAACATCTAGCACAATGCTTTGCACCAAGCAATAATAGCAGCTGACATTTATTGATACTTTGGTTTACAAAGCATCTTCTTAACAACAATCCTATGAAATGGGCAATACAAATGCTGTTATGCCCATTTTACAGATTGGGAAACAGTGACCTAAAGAAATTAGGTAACTGGTCCTAGATCATATGATCAGGAAGTAGAAGATTCAGTACTATTTGTACTGTAACACACTCTTAAAATGAATGCCAATGAAACTAACAAAAAAAATAGAAAAAATCCTCCTTACCAATAAAGGGGCATTATATGAATGCACATAATGAGGGGAGTGGTTGTTGTTGTTTTGCCAATTAATTGACCAGTTTGGGTATATGTTGACAAGTAAACACACCGACTACACCATTTCTTAGGAAGGAGATACAGGTGGGCTTCTAGCACCTCTGTCACTTGCAGGTTCGCTTTTGATCCTGTCGGACTGGAAGACAGGAATGGAGTCATAATAAGGGGTTAATTAAGCTTACTTTATTCTAGTCTAGTCTTCTCAAAGCGAGTTTGCTGATAATGGGAGCACCAATTCCTACAGCATGCCTAACAACCCTTCCTGAAGAGGCCTGCATGAAGGTGGGGGGCAACTACCCCTCATCTCAATGGGGTCAGTTGAGACCAGCACCATTTGTGCTCTCCCCTAAATCCCCTAAAGTCTAAATGGGAACCAGTCGAGACAAACACACAGATTTCCCCTCCCAAGCCTTGATGGGGGTCGATCAAGACATGCACAGCATTCAGCCTACACATTCACCTCTATGGGGGTTCCCAGTCACTGACCAGTACCCACTTGCTTTATAGGGCAAGAGACAAAGAAGGCACATTGCCAGCAATAGCCTCACAATTCTATATCACTTCATCCCTATATCTACTGCACAAGTGTGGTAGAAACTGTTTTGAACCATAATTGTGAGAACTCATATCTAACACCTGGGAAGTAGAGATTGTTATGGCTATGGATCTGGGAAGAAAACTCTAAGAAAAAAAATAACAAAAAAAAATCCACTTTACACACACTAAAATTCACCTTACTTACAGTATGCAATTAAAAATAATCTCTTATTTAATTAGTCCTTTAGATTCATACAATACATCATTTGATGGTCACAATACCCTCCATAAGGCAAGTGGCAAAGGTCTTATTCTCATTTTACAGATGATGAAAATAAGTCCCAATAAGGTTATTTTTCTAGGATTATATGACTAGCAAGTGATGATGAGACAGGAACTCAAACCCAGATTATTTGACTCCAAATAAATTGTTCTTTCTACTACACTATACTGTGTCTTTATAAAATGAACTGGTCTTATCTTTTATGTGCCATTAGTTGTTCTTATATAAAATATAGCTTTACCGTTTAGGTCTTAATCTTTTTTACCTCATGGATCCCTTTGGAAGTCTGTTGAAGCCTATGGACCCTTTCTCAGAATAATGTTTTATTTTTTAATATAATTAATTTATTTACCTTTAGTTTTCAATATCCACTTCCATAAGATCTTGAGTTTTAAATTTTCTCTCCCTCTCCTTATCCTCCCTCCAAAAATGGTGTGCAATCTAATATAGGCTCTACTTACACATTAATATTAAGTATATTTCCTCATTAGTCATGATGTAAAGAACAATTAGAACTAATGGGAGGAACCATGAGAATAAAGCAATAAAACAAAATAACAAAGGAAAAGGAGAGCAAATAGTATGCTTACATCTGCATTCAGATTCCATAGTTCTTTCTCTGGATGTGGCTAGCAATTTCTATCATAAGTCTTTTGGAGTTGTCTTAGATCCTTGCTTCAGAATAATGTTTTAAATGCATAAAATGAAATTCAGAGGATTACAAAGAAAATTAATTGTATTGGAAGACAATTATCAAATTTTTTTTTAAATTCACAGATCTCCAGATTAAGAATCCCTGGTTTCGGTATTAGGACCTTAAATTGGATTAACAGAGGAATTCAGAAGGTGAATAGAAGAGCCCAGATTCCGCATTGTTTTAAATGATCATTTGGGCTCTGCAATTGGGAATGTCATGGAACCCCCCATATTTGGGGTATTCATAGATTTTTACTGCCTCTTGGCAAAGTAACGTTCTACTACATAGTAGGCAAATTATAGATTGAACCCACTACCACGGAGTAATGCCATATCTTTCCTGCTATTTTGAATTTTAGTTCTTTAGAAATATGGAAGGAAATATACTGGGGCAGACATACTTTGGGATTAAAACTTTAATGGTATTTTTATGATTAGTAGGGTCCCAAGGGAACCTGGGACTGGGGGCAATTTTCATTCATGGACTAAAGAATTGATGTATTAGAGTGGAAGAGAGGGAAGAATAATGAACAGTTTCAGCTTTTCCTGAATGAGGAAAAGCTTGAGTTTAGGGTAGGAATTGGCAGCTTTGACAGGCATCCTTGGCTCCAAATGAGGGTGACACAACAAAGGAAAAGTAGAAGCTATAAGAGATTGGAGAAGAATGGGAGTGAATTCAGCAAGTGGGGCCCCTTAACACAAGATCTAAGATTTAAAGCTGGAAGATGGTATAAAGGTCTTCTAGTCCAACCCCTCCTTTCCTCAAATGAGAAAATGAAGGTTCAGAGAGTTTAAGTGATTATCTCAAGGTCATACAAGTAAGTGGCAAAGCCAGGATTTAACCTCAGATCCTCTCATTCCAAATCCAGCAGTTTTCACTGTATATTCACAAAGGATGGAGATCCTGAAATACTCCCAACTCATTTTCACAACGAGACCCAGTTTAAGAACCAAGAAACCCAGACACACCACTGTGAGAGAAAAAACTACAACTACCACCACTGAGAGAGAGAGAGAGAATGGAAAGAGAGAGAGAGAGAGAGAGAGAGAGAGAGAGAGAGAGAGAGAGAGAGAGAGAGAGAGAAGAGAAGAAGAAGAAGAAGAAGAAGAAGAAGAAGAAGAAGAAGAAGAAGAAGAAGAAGAAGAAGAAAGAGGAGGAGGAGGATTTAATAAGGATGAGATAATAACCAGGATGAGAGTATCTTATTAAGAAAAAGAAAGAAAGAGAAATATAGTGATAAATAATACAGAGTGTGGGAGGGAGTTCAGTTATAATGATTGAAGGTTCCAGAAGGAGTAGCAAGATGATACGGTGCAACATCTCTAATGGAAATGTTCCTTGAAAGAACAACTCCATCCATCTCTTTTAGGTTCCACTGGCTGCCCTGTCCCAGTCTACTAGTTAGAGGTATTTATTTAGAAATACATGTTTTTCAATGGGCTTTTAACATTTTGAGAAAGTACCAAATTCCTTTATCCCCATGGAATTAATAATTCCCTTTCCTCTACACTCATCCCCAAAATGTCTTTGATCTAGTTTGGGGGTTTAGTTGTTATTGAGGTTTTTTTGAGATGGATAATTCAAAGATGAAAACTAAAAATAAATAATGATGAAGAGATGAAAGAGAAACATGTTGTTATGGCTGAACTGCTAGAGGCTGAAACAATAGGTGCAGTTGCTAACACTTATCAATCAATGAATCAACAAGCACTATATGCCAGACACTAGGTATTGGGAATACATAGATAAAAATGACAGTCACTGGCTTCAAGGACTTACATCCCATGGAAAGAGAGGGATACGTACACATATGAATAAACACATGTGTGTGTATTTATTTATTTATTCCATGTAATTTCAAGAGGGGAGGCATTTAAGCTGAGACCTGAAGAAACTAGGAATTGGATATGCTAAAGTAGTGTTTTATTTTGTTGTTAGTGAAATAAGAGCAAGGGCATGAATTTCTCAAGATGATTCTGGTCATTGGCCACTAAAAAAATCTTTCTAGAAAAGTCTTTTTTTTAATGAGAGGTTTGTCATTTTTATAGAAAAAGGTATTGAAGTACACAGATGGGGGACCATGGAGTCAATCCTCTCTTTAGAAAGGGCCTTAGAACTGCTTCATAGTGGCCCCCTCAAGTATTCATTTTTACCCTATAGTCCAAAGCTATTATTAATGACCTAATAATTTTTACAAAAAAAATGAACATTCCATCAGGAAATGGACGAGATCCAGATGGATAACTGAAGAAACAGATGATCTGTCAGTAAAGGCTGGAGAAAGCAAAGGGGGGGAAAGTTAGGTGGTTAAAAAAAAGAAGAAGAAGAAGAAAGCCCAGAACACAGTAATCCAACCAACAACATTCCTTTAGATGGCAGGCAAAGAAAATTCAAAAGGGGATGGGGGTGGGGAGGAGAATGATGTATGAAGAGTCAGTAAATGTAAATATTGATAGGAGACAGTGAAATAAAGAGGAAGGACAAAGCATTTAAGGACTTTGGTTAAGGGTTTACATGAGAAAGAAAAAGGATGGAGAGCAAGGCAGAAAAAGAAAAGGGGGAAGAAGAGGGGCAGTCACAGGGGCAAGAGAATAGGGGATTGCTGAAAAATAACGACGAGCTCCTGAGACTGAGGAGAGAGGACTGGACAGGGGAGACACACACACACACACGCACACACACACACACACACACACACACACACACACACACACAACCCTGCGAGTCAGCAAGAGAGCTTGTGGGAGGAGAGGGTAATGAGAGGGAGGGATTTCGAGATGAGTATGGGATCAGCAGGAGCGTGAGCAGCTGGGTGGAGAGCAGCATAGAGCTGCTGCAGGGCCATGGGAAGAGGACAGCCCCTGGCTTCCCGGCTTTTTCTCTCCACCTCTCTCATGACACCGCCATTCCAGTGAAGGATTCTTGCTCCTCCGCCTGACTTCACAGTCTGCCTTCCCCGCCTCTCTGTTCACTCTACGATGGCTGGTAATTCCCTGCTGACAGTTCCGAGGTAGGATCCTTATCCCCTTGCTGTACGGGTTCCCTAACTCTTTTCTGAAGCTTCTGCCTCCGGTGTAAACTTGTCGGGGCAGCAGGGTAAGGCACCTTCGCTCGCTCGCTGGCAAGCTTGCGGTTCTTTCCGAGTGAGGTGCACCAGGTGGGGCTGGAAACTGAAGGCTCCAATACTTTCAGCTAAGTTCAACTCTGGCTGAGCGATTCGGCTATCAGGGGGTTTTGCTAATACTATTTATTGCCTTCAACTTCCTAATACAGGTAGGTGCTTTCGCTGGGAGGGGCGAGGTGAATGAACATCCTCCAGGTGGCGAATACTTGGCCGGGCTTTGGAGTTTCCAGGTCTGAAATTCACTTCCCCGAAGAATAGAGGAAAGGGCCTGAGGAGCCCCTAAATTGGTGCAGCACAGAGACTAAACTGACCCTAAAATCGTTAGGGTTTCTGGAGGAAACGAGGATAAGGAAGACAAGGGCAACTGGAGGCGAGAGGGAAACTCGCGGTATTCCTCCCCCTCCTCCCCCACGATGTTGGCACCCATTTGGGGCAGGGAAGTAGGCTTCTGCTACAGAGTGGAAAAGGGGCCCGTAGACCAAAGACAACAGGGACTTGTGTCTCTCATGACTGATTTAACTAGGTGCCTATCCAAGTACCAGGGCAGAAACCTCCCTTTGTCGATATATGCCACAGGCGATGTGCTATAGTGAAAAACAAGAACAAAAACAAAAACAAAAACCGGTCCATAGGTTACTAGGAACTGGGTTCGAATCCCACTTTAGACACTAAGTTGTTTAACCTTTGGCAAATTAACTAACCTCCCTGGGCTTCTGTTTCCTCAACTGCAAAATGTGGAGGCTGGATAAAGGATAGTGTTAGATTTGAAGTTAGGGAGACTTGATTCGAATCCTGCCTCGAACAGGGACAGGTAATTTAACATCTCTCGGGATAAGTTTCCTCATATGGAATAATAATAACACTTCCCTCTCAGGTTTGTTGTATGGATAAAATGAGATAACATACATGAAGAGCTGTGAAAACCTTAAGGTTCTATAGCAATGCGATGATGATGATGATGATGATGATGATGATGATGATGTCTCTGATCTTATGAAGTCCCACCGTATCACTAATAAATAAAACCACAAATACAAGTCTCACCATCACCATCCTCTTGTCAGTGATACCCAAATTTCGCCTGCAGTTGAGTGGGTTGTTGGGTCATAATAGACTTGGGGGGAGGGGGAAGCGCTGTGTGTAAATGCTTATTATCAGCCATAGCTTCCTCTTCCCCTGTCCTCCCCTTCCTTACCCACCAACCTCCTCCCCAGTATACACACACACACACACACACACACACACACACACACCCCACTCCCGTCTCTGTCTCTGCTCAGCGCCCTGGTCGTTCAGGCTCAACCCTCTGTTGAATTGCTTTGCTCTGCCCTCCAGTTCCGTCCCAATCAGCCCTTGATCAGTGCTGGAGCCCTCAAGAATTTGTGGCTGCACTCCAGTCAGGACACCGCTGAGTTATTAGGCAAGCAGCCTAGTTACCGCCGGCACGTGGGGCTGAGTGATGGATGCCCGGGTGTGCAAGTGGGAGGCGAGCAGAATCGTACTGTGGAGCCTGATGCGAGAACCGTAATACTACTGATCTCCACCCTCTCAGCCCCACCTCCCTTAAGAAGTCTGGGGTTCTGTGTAGTTGTAGGCCGTTGCAAACCTAGCCGCCCGCCCCGCCTTTTTCCCCAGCAGAAACTGAAGTCAGCTTCTGTTGGGGCAGCTCAGACTTTCCTGGGCATAGAATTTCCTTTATTTTGAATAAGGAATGGTGGAAGAAGAGATTTGCAGGTTGATGCACCCCGATGGTACTGAGATAATACCATGCCCCACCCCCAAAGCAGAGGCTTGAGCCAATTTGAGGTGTGGGGTGATGCAGACTGAGGTAGAGGGTGACCACTGTTACACCTAGTCATCCACAATAAATTCTTTGTAGCCCAAAAAGCTCCTTTTAAAAATCGTCTTATTTTTGTCGCTTGTTTTGTTTTGTTTTTACATTTCATTATAACGCGTAAAAAAAAAAAAAGAAAAAGACATCTGTTGTCTGGGGGCCTTGCCCTGCCACTAAGAACCTCTAAATAGGCCCGTTTTATTTTTAGTTCATTGTGAAAACAAGTGCTTTAATTTTTTGGGGGGCGGGTAACATTACTTTCCTAAATCTCTAGGCACAGGGTATCCTGAAGGTGAAATGAGTTGGACAACCCGTTTATTTCCCTGACAAAAAAAAAAAAAGACCAGGTAGTAGTATCACGATGCAATTAAAAGCACTTTCAGTTATTCACTGATCATTTGTTTTTCATCCATTTGTATGAGTGCCAAGCTAGCCTAGATTGAACCAGGTTTGTTCAGGCAAATGGGACACTTTTTGAAAATAATGGGAATGCCCTTTGGTGTCAAAACACAAGCTGTGTTTGAGATTTCTGTAGCTGGGCTAGAAATTGTTTTGGCAAAAGCCACCAGACTGCAATGGAAGTAGACACAGTGTATCATGTACAAAGCAGTGAGACTTCTCAAAGACTACTGACAACTGCAGTAAATCACACCTATTGCATCAAGAAATGAATATTCACAAGATACAATCTATTTCTACTTGTCACTGTGGAAAGACTTTGTTTCTATTTAAAAAAAAACCTTCAGTTAACTGCAATAAATTAATTGACTCCAATTATTCTACATTTTTTAATCTAAGAAACCAGATATGCACTAGGATGAACTCTGATTGGAGTCAGATTCTGATTTAAATCCTAGCTCTGTGATTGATGATCTGTGTGACCCTGGGCAAGTCATTTCATTTCAATGGCCCATAGTTTCTTCATCTATAAAATGAAATGGTTGGACTAATTCATTTTTTCCTTAACACATAGTATTTTCCCCTGGATTCTAGATGAAAATCACAGGATTTGTCATGAAACTTTAATTATCGTTAAAAGCAAGGTGGGAGAATATGGTATGTAAAAGCAAAATTCTTGTTTCTTAAATATGTCTGCATTTTGTTGTGAAAACTCAGTTTTAAAAACTAGGTATTTAATTTTTCAAGGTCTATTATAAAAGAAACACCTACAATTATTGAATAAGCTCTGTATAAATACAATCTGAAATAAATATATAATAAATAACTCAATATTAAATTAAGTCAAAGTTAAGTTACCAATTTTCAAATTCCATAGGTGAATTTTTGTGTTAAGAATTAGGAAATGATACAAAACTTTTGTGGTTTTATGCATTTTAAGTAATAAGAAAAGAAAGAATACAGTGTCCTAAATAATACTCTGCATATAATACATGACTATTAAACCAATTCACCTTTTTTAACCATTAAAATGTCCCATACACTAATAGAAATACACGTGTAAAATATATTTAAGGAAACTGTATGTATTACATATAATTATTAATTATGTAATATTTGATACAGGATTATATGTAATCATTTTTATTGGTAGCTTTTTTAAACAAAAAAAACCCCACAAATAATTATTCTGGGGAAAACATCTGGTTTGATGGCTCTCTGGATTTGGAGTATAGACCTGGAAGGGCACTGAGAAACCAACTAATCCCACTCCCTCATTTTATATATAGAAACTGAGGCCCAATAAGAGAAAGTGACTGGCCCAAGGCCACCCTGATAAATAAGTTTCAGAGGCAGGATTTGAATCTGATTGCTTTGATTACACTTTCCAATGGTGTACCCCACAGTCCCCCTATATTCCTTAAAAGAAAATGTGAATAGACAAGACCTTAGATATGCTTTTACTTCAATAAATAATTCTTTTTTTAAGCTGTAAAATTTAAATTTCCTATTAGGAAGAAATACACAAACAAAAAATCTCAAGATGTGAATTGTAAAATGGAGTCACTCTCACTTAGTCATGAGACAGTAAGCCAGATTTTTTTCTTGGAAAAAAATAAAATTAACTACATTAAAAGCTTATTTAAGCTGCCCACTAAGGGAATGTAGTAACCTGGGGTGGTCCCATGCTCTGGTTAGTTTACAGCAAAGCAGATATTTCAATTCAGGTAACTGAGAAAATTCTAAATCACCTTAGTCTTGACCTCCAGCCCTGGTAACTAACTTGGTAACTAAGCATTGTAGGAATCTAACTGAGCATTTCCTTGATGACTAAGGATCTTGCAATGCTACACTTCGGGTCATTTCTTTGAACACCAGTCTTCATTGTAAATTCCATGTAAGTACAGGAGATTAGAATGTACTGAACTGACCACAAGACAGATCATAGATAGAAGGTACTTTTTAAAAAAAAAAATACCCCACTGCCAGGGGTGATGGCAGCCTAGGAGGAGGCTGAGGCTGAATCTCTTTAACTTGGAAGTTCAGAGCTGCAGTAGGCCTGCAGATGGGTGTCCTTGATAATTTTCACATTAATATAGTGGTGAGGAGGGGGAACAGAGAAAGGATACTGGTGTTAGAAACGGGGTGGCTCATGCCTCCATGCTGGGTATAGCCCACGAATAACGCCTTCATTCCAGCCTAGCAGAGATAGGAAAACAAAGTACTTTAAAAAAGTTAATTGCCCTCCCTCCATAATTTTTCCCCAAAAAAGGAGTACCAGGGGAAAAACAAAAACAAACACACAAACAAACAAACAAAAAACCCTTCAGACTGATTAGGTGATTCCAATTATTTGATTTCTGCCTAAGCAGCATTTTATTATGCTTTCAAAATCTCCAGAGTGTTGAATGTTTTACATGAAGGCACATTTACATAAGTATACTCTAGAAACTTTTATATCCACTAAAAAAGGTTGGTTTTTTAAGTCCTTTGAGTGATTTTTTTTCTGCTTTTGCATTATATAATACTGCCTCAGTAAACCTACAAACTCATTTGTATTGAGTATTTTCTTTTTGGTGAGGCAATTGGGGTTAAGTGACTTGCCCAGGGTCCCACAACCAGTAAGTGTGAAATATCTGAGGTCAAGTCTGAA